GTTTACTTTTTTAAAAATCGTTTTTTGCAGCGTACTTTTATATATCTATATATTTGACCATGTGTGGATTTGAGAAAAGCGAGTGAAAATTTTTCAAGCTCTCACATTTTGCAACATATTTACCTTGATAGTTTTAGGTTACTTTTCGAGTCTCTTTCTATTCTCTAAATTAATTTTAACTTTCGCCCTCACGTCTCAGCTTGGCCACCTGGAGCCTGTTGTCTCTTGGATCTCTGCTCAGTAGTGAATCTGTTGCCGCAAAGCAACTAAGTTATGGATAATAAGAAGACTAATATCAGTATAACATAAATACAATCAGTGGTTAAATTTCGTAATAGCAATTTCTGCAGTAAAAGAATCATTAATGCCTGGATCATTTTGGTTAATCATACAAAATTTTATTTTCTGAAAAAGTAAGCTAAGAAAAAATATTTCAGCATGCATTTAAAAAAACAAACAAACCATATATTGTATCCTAACACCACATACAACGTATTAATCTTCACTTTTTATCATATTCATGTATAAATTCATGTACACAATGTAAGAACATAATAAAAAGGTTCATACTGGTTGTGCACTGGGATGCAACAGTCTGGGCTAATATGTGAAAGCAACGAATTTCTAAAGAAACAGTGAGTTGTGCAGCAAGTCCTACCTCATGAAGAGCACCCTGTTACTGGCTGTATTGTGTCTACTGTTATGTTGGGATCTTGGGGTAGCAGCTAAATGGCTTTGTGGAATAGGAATCGTTTTGATTGTGGTGTCTTTTAAGATTTTTCCAGTTATTCCAGGAAAATACCAGGTCTTTTTAAGAAAAAGAAATAGATGAACTTTTACTGTGTTAGTGATTTATCATTCAAATGTGTGACAGATGATATATCGAACTGATTTAATTAACAAAATTAATTTTCATCCAAGTTTTTCTGTCCATAATTAGAAAATATTGTCATCTGATATCATCTCATTGATCTCATATTTAATCAGATAATAGAACTGTAAAAATGTATTGCACAAAAGTATTGACCCACCTCTTTTTCTTTATAAAGAGAGTAAAGATTAGTCTTTATACTACTAGGAAAAAGTAGATGTAAGGATTTGTGGAAATATACATGGAAATACAATACAGAGTTTTAAAATGGCAACGAGTTTGAAAGTCAATCAATATTTGGTACGACCACCTTTATTCTTCGACACAGTCTGAACTCTCTTGTGCAGCTTTGTTCTCATTTCTTTAAGTAGTCTTCAGGAATAGATTCTACTCTGGCTGACTTTCACCAGTTTGTGAATTGTCCCACATGGAGCAACAGGACAACTGACCTACTGTATGCTAATTTGAGAGATGCATACAGTGCCACCCCACCCTCACCTTTACTACAGAGCCCTCTCCCTACTCTCCTGCCTCCCTCGCTTCTCCCTCTCCCTGACACTATGACATCCCCCCCTCCTCCTCCAACCCCTCTCTAGACAGCATGACAGCCCCCCCCTTCCTTCCAATCCACTCCCAGTGTCACAGTTGACCAGGTCAGGAGACAACTGAGGAAGCTACAACGAGTCTACAACCTCAGCCTGCGACTGGGGAGAGTGCCCGTCCTCTGGAAGACATCCTGCATCGTCCCAGTCCCCAAAAAGAACCGGCCCAATGAGCTGAATGACTTCCGACCGGTGGCACTGACATCACATCTTATGAAGACTCTACAGCAGCTCTTCCTCAGCCTCCTCCAACCACAGGTACAACATGCCCAGGACCCACTACAGTTCACCTACAAGGTGGATGTCGGAGTGGAGGATGCCATCCTGTACCTCCTACAGAGCCCACTCACACCTGGACAGGGGAAAAGGCACGGTCAGGATCCTGTTTCTTGACTTTTCCAGCGCCTTCAATACAATCCAGCCCTGTCTGCTCCAGGAGAAACTAAACAGGATGCAGGTGGACCCCTGCCTGGTTGCTTGGATTTCTGACTACCTCACTGACAGACCGCAGTACATAAGGCTGAAGGAATTCACGTCTGACACTTTAAAAGGACATTAAAGAAACTGATGGACATTATGAACAATGCTGGGCATCCTCTGCACACGGTCGTAAACAATCAGAGGAGCCTATTCAGCGACAGGCTGCTTCTCCCAAAGTCAAAAACCAACCGACTTAAAAACTCCTTTGTCCCACACGCCATCAGACTGTTTAACTCCTCACTGGAGGGGAGGGGGAGGGGAAACAAGGGGACAAGGGAAGGCGGGAACAACTGAGCTGTAGTGCTTTTTTTACACTGTGCAATATTTGCAATATTTTGTTTCTTATATTCAACTGTGCAATAATCACTGTGCAATATACTCACTCAAATGTGCAATCCTATTTATCCATATTGCATATTCTGTATTTATTTATGTGTAGATATGGTGTATTTATGCTTATATCCTCACTCTCATTCCCCTTATTGTATCTGTAACCTGCAACTTCTTTCAGTGCTGTGCTACTGGAAACTGAGGGAAACCCACCTGAGGGATTAATAAAGTTTCATCTAATCTAATCTAGTTCTGCAAGCTTCTTGAAGGACATTCAGAGCTGTCTTCGGATGTTGACTGCCTTTTGTTCTGCTCTCTGTGAAGATGATCTCACACTACTTCAATTATGTTGAGGTATTTGGCATACCACAGTGGGTTTTTTTTTTGTTTTTTTGTTTTTTTTTACATTTTTATTTATTTCTTTTAACTGAAGGAAAGCTATTGTGTACATGGATATATGCTGAACATTATACACTTAACCAGTCAACAACGGATAAAGTCTGTTGAGAAAGGTGGGATTGAGAGAGAGATTGAAGTCCCCCTGGCATCACTCTTGGCCTATTATGTTGCGGGTCAAATTGACCTATTTTGAAGTTGAAGAATGTAAAAAAACAAACAAACAAAAAAGGTAAAAGCATTTTTTAATATGAAACTTGCTTGGCTTATTTATATTGCACAGATACTGTTCATGTCAATTTGAACTGGTAGTCAAAGCTGAGAAACAGGGTTAGAATTGTCAAATGCTGTTTTTTTTTTTTTCTTTGCAGCTGGGAGACATACTTCACCACAAAACACACACACGCACACACCTTACTGACCTTATATAAAGATTGAGAATGCAGGTGTTGTTATGACTTTTGATGGGAACTTTTTCTGTTCCCAAAGACAAAAACTCCACCCACCGCAGCCACATATGATATACTCACCTGTTTTATAAAATGAGAGGTAAACAGTTGACAGCCCTGGAGGCTCAATTTGATCACAGAGGAGGAGAATGTGTCTGAAGATGAGGTCAATTCAGAATCTTGTGACTCTGATTCTGCATAAACACATCTTAAATGCATTAAAATAAGAGTGTTTTGCAAAAGTCTTGAACCACAGCTCATTTCTTTATAGGAATATTCACTGAAATATGAGCAAACAGACAGTATACGTACAGTATTATAACCTTACAATACAAAGGTGCTTTGAGGCAAGACAAAATAGAGCTTGAAGGTCATTATTTTTTATCATTGCCTTTATTCTTTAACACAGTCTGAACTCTCATCGTCGACTCTTTTGTCATTTCTTTAAGTAGTCTTCAGGAATAGTTCTCAAGACTTCTTGAAGAACATTCAGTGTCGGCTGCCTTTTGTTCTGCTCTGTGTCTAGATGATCCCACACTGCTTCAATATTATTGAGGTCCGGGCTCAGGGAGGGCAATCCATGATTGATAAGTGAAAAAGTACAGGCTCTGAAATGTACTCAAAGTAAGAAAGTAAAAGAAGCTCCTTGTAGTGGCACGGCACAAAAAAAAGAATCACAACTTACAGTAATTTCTAATGTGAGCTCCAGTAGATTTTTTTTAGTCTACATGCTGTGATCAACACACTATACTGCTTATACTGTCTTTACACTAAGTTTTTCTACTTTAAAACTTGTAAAAAAAAAAAATCACCTTTTCTTTGTTTTCTTAGAAGAGACAATGATACAATAAATAGTTTTAAAGAGTTTTTGTGGCTGTATTGTTGACTCCATTTAAACAAGGGGATTTCACTCCACTGAAGATGTATGTGCCACCCTGCCTAGACAACTTGCCCCTCCTTTACACTCCATGTAAAATTTTGTGGATCTGCCACTGTTGGAAAATCCCAATGATTTTTGCAAATTAAGGCTCAACTAAATAAACAAAGAAAATTGTGTTGTTTCAATCACTTCAAAAATAAATATTTTGATAAATAACTAACTAAATGTATTTCCCTTCTAAAAACAAAAAAAATCAAAGGTAACATTTGTGAAGTTATCATAGGACATTCACATCAGTTCATTTCACATTTAAAATTTAAATCGTAGTAAACTATTGTGGTTCAGCGGTTGCTCAGATGAAAAAACTTTCCCTCAGTTTATTTGGAACCTACACATACTCCTTTAATGTGGATGTATCTTGTTACATGGATATGGAGAGAAATATGCATAAACTACTGTGTAGTAAGCTGTATTAAAATCAAGCGTAAAACTGGGACATCACGACATCGCACTCATTGCTTTTTCTATTTGTATTTCTCTTGACATCACCGACTTTTTGTTTTGTTTTTCTCAAATAAATTGGAAGGTTTTTTCTAAATAGCTCTTGACCACTTTACTAGAAAATGCAGATTTACCAATTAGAGAATTGTCAATTCCATATTACCTGGATTATATTTATATTAAAAAATATACAATGATTGTCCAAGACAAGCATATGTTTACTCCAGAAGATGATCCAAAGTGATGTACAGCCATTGTGTTCCCCATATGCGGCTGAGCACTGACTGACTTTTCCCAGCAGAAGATCCTCCAGCATGTAGCATCAGATTATTTAAACCATATATTAACCTTTATGGGCTACTGTGTACTATCTCTAACTGGTAAATCACATTTTCTGCTATATTTAGAAAAGGCGACCACTTTATTTGAATAAATTTATAGATAAAATGCAGGTATACCGAGGAAAGTCAGATGTCCCAGTTTAACACTGGGACATGAACGCATCTTAAGTTTGCGGATATCTGTGAAGCGGGCAGTGTGAAATGCGTCTCAAAATTATACACATTTGTAAATCATATCGTACGTGCACTTGCAACCGTTTCGAGGTTTCTCTCCATATATAAATAGCGACTGCAAATGTCAGTCTAAATCGTCTTACCTGTAAAACCTGCCGTCATTGCCGGAAGTCAGTGTTTGGGCACACACTTTAATAACTGGGGGGTGGGGTTTTTTCCCCCAGTGTAACTGAAAAGTAAAGTTTTACTTTCCTGTGTGGGACATCGTTTGCTGTCTAGTCGGCAACAGAGGTAAGTCCCTATTCTGGAGTTTCACATCTCTTTTTTTAAAACAAGTGGGTTTTTTATACATGGATAATGGATATGTGATTGTTAGCACTGATGTGCAGATGTGCTTTCTATTTACTCTCCTGTGGTTGCTGATGTGTTTGCTGATAGACCTCATAGAATTTGTTCGGTCTACACACACATTCACATACCGCTGTGTGTGTGTGTGTGTGTGTGTGTGTGTTGAAGGAAATTTCCGTCCCCGGTTCCCTCCAAGGCACGAGCGATAAGCAGAGTTCTGTCCTTTAACATATAAGATTCCTAATTATTCAAAGTAACACTCAGGTATGCCATTCAGCTGGGTTAGTTACGATATCGGGAGCAGCTTGGGAGAACAAGAAAACAGAGACTGCTTTAGGTTGCCTTCCCAATC